TGCTATTAGAAAAAGATGCATGGAAGAAGGAAAGCTGGTTCTCCATTAGGACCATCACTTACAAAGACTATACTGTGACATCAGTCTTTACTAGGCAAAAGAACACATAATCTATCACAGAGACACATATCTACAAGAAACCAACCTTCAGTGAATTGCAAGGCGAGGCAAATCTTTGTTTTCAACTGTAGCAGAAACTCATATTAACTAAGAACCAATATCATGTTAAGTTTTACTATTGCTGTATTTCAACTGCCTCGGTTTACAACCATTCTCAGTGATTTTTTACACATAAAAAAGAAAGGAAAAAAAGGAAAAAAAAAAGAAATTGGGGAATTGGTGGGGTTTCCTGGTCTCAATAAGCTGAACAATAAATGGGTGCTTTGTGCTCTTACTTCCTAAAGTGATCCCTGGCTTGGAGGAAGGTGCAGATGCCTTAGTCTGAATGGCAAACAGGGAAGATGATGCTTAACATGAACACTGCATTACAGCTGTGCAGACGGTGATATCAAGAAGTTACTCACAAAACACTTCATAGCTTCAGCCAAGAACTTTGCAACAGAGTAAGCTGAGCTGACTTAAAAGTCTCTGGGAAAGGTGAGCTGGGTCCTGTTGATATGTACTGGAAATCTCTGTGCCTGGACTTGGTGTAGGAAGGCTCTCAAAGCCAGGAATACGTTTCAGAAAAAGGTGGGAGCAACTGCCACACAGGCAGCTGTAACACAATATGTCCATCAGTGCTCCTGGTGTTACATCAGCAGAACATATCTCATCCTTAGACACTTCCTCCCTTTCCCACCTCCACCCCAGACCTCTGCAACACACTTCCTTCACACAGCTCCCACCTTTTAAGCACATGTGCATGCCATAAAGCCTGACAGCTGTCCCCAACACTCTGGCCAGTTTGCCTCAGAGGCACTCAGGGAAAACAATGTTTTCTGCCAGGACAGGCATAGGATGAAGAGTGGGGATCTACAGTTAGCCATTTAAATACCTTCTTAAGCTTTCGATTTTCTTTTTTCTGGTCCTTCCTTCTCCTAGAAAAAAATAATGTATGATTGCCCAAATCAGTGAAAACAGTGGGAACATGAGGATGAGGAACAACCTCTTTTAGTCCAGACATTTCTTGATGGTCAGTGGGCAGCCAGTAAGTTAGCATGTAGGATTATAGGCCACTTCTTTGGACTCGGCAGGTCCACATATGGGCCTCAACAGGTGCGTATATGGTGAGCAAAGCTCTGGACTCCAAGAGACTCACTCCTTTGCCTTTACAAAGCTTGCAGGCCATTATAGCTCCAACATAGTGGCAACTTCCAAAATGAAACTACTGTGGTAGCTGCAAACAGCAAGAGATTATATGACCCATCCTCCTCCCTACTCCACTAGAGATCGACTGGCTAGATTCCCCAGTTTCACTCACAGATACTAGCTACAGGAGGAAGTTTCAGCTGGCTAGCAAGACCACCCAAGTGACATCCCTCAAACTACTGGTTTGAGGAATGGAAAGGAGAGAGGTGCTGCATTTCAGACTGCTTCCATTTTAAGTGAATGCTAAGTGAGTACGCTTGGTGCTGCAAGGCTGGACTGCAATGGTCTGTCAGATTGGGCATAAGGACACACTACTGCAATCTCCTCTAAAAAGTCTCTCCACACATGCTTTTGAATACCTGTTCTCATCCAACACACTCTCTTTCTGAGGCCTGATCTCTTCTGCTATTCACTTTATGGGCTGGACTGCCTATGAGTAAAACCTCATTATCCTTCTGTACTATTTTTGATACCCCAACCAACATCCTTTTGTTGTTAAAGGCCTCATCCTCTAAGTTCATAAAGTCCTCAAAAAGAAACTGCCTGGAGAATTGTGATTAACCTCTGGCAACTTTTGGTCAGCAAAACCGGTACTAGACTTGAGCTTATGCCTCTAGGAGCTCTAGGAGAGACAGAGATCTAGGAGATGAGAAACCCAGAATGCAGTGACCAATGTGTGTATATAAGGAGATTCTCATCTTCTTGCCTCACAACAGAGGCTATCTTCATATAGCCCAAACCAGACAGGAAATGCGATACGCTGCACTTCAGAAAATTTGATCTGTGTGTGGAAAAAGAGAGGTGTTGCGTGCATACCTACTTGTGAACTGGGCAGCCATTAGGCTGTGGATTTGTACTGGTATGCACGTCTGGACTTGGATGTTGAGGACAATGTTTATTCGGGGAAATGCCTCCTGTGATGAAAATATATTCTGAAATTCAGCATTTCCCACAGAGCCTGTGAGGGATTACATCTCTATAGCCGTGAAGGAATATGAAGTTTCAGAAGAAGGTGGCTGTATCTTTTGCATACCTTCTAGCCTGTTGGACAAGCTGTGTAAAAACAAGCACAGCAGCTACTACAGAGGAGTCTCACCTAGCTGAACTGAATGAGAGGCTCAGGTCAGAGGGGATGACTCCTCCACCTCCTGTGGTCTGAGGCTGTGTTTGGCTAGGTCAACAATCTTCAGGATGGTGACTCCTGTGGTGTCACATTATGCACAGGTATGAGGTTATGCCTCAAGCATGCTCACACATGCCACTGTCCTTGTTCCACTCCAAATCTGACCTGGGATGGGTCCTGTGAAATGGGGACAATGGTTGTGAGGCTTGTTTGATTCTGGAGTTGCTTAGGTCAATGACTAGAATAATTTTTCACAAACCAGCCCACATGTCTACTGGGGGTTAACTCCAATCCAGTTTCAAATTGATCTGTATGCGCATGCAGAGTGAGCACTCATCCCCTTGAGAATGATAGGGGTGGTCTGTCCAGGTGTTTCGGGCTCTTGTTAGTGTCCTGAGAGGACAGTTCCTTTTCTTTCTCTTCTGCTCCCCAGCAACAGTTCCATACTGGTCCCCAGTATAATCGAGCACTGCGAACTAACACCTGATCCCTCCACCCTTGTTTCTGCACCTATTGCTCTACCAGCAGGAAATAGGACGTGGTTTGGGGCTTTTTATTCTCGGCCTCACTAGCCTTTTCGATACTTCGGGGCCTCGTCTCAGTCTGACAAGGCAAGCAAGCAGCAGCTTCCTGTGCAAAGGTGAGAGGGAGAAGACAGAGAGATAGAGCATAAACTAGAGAAACCGTTCCACCGACTTTTGCTCTTGCAGAACTGTTTGGCTGGAAGCCCTGTTCCTCACACCAGCCGCACTGGCAGACAGGTGGACATGCACTGAGCGAGGATCCTTCCTGCATCCCTCTCTCTTCCCTGAGTTTCCCTCATAGATTTACAGCCAGCGCCTACTTTCATCCAACCCAGCGACCCAGTCCCCAGGGACCCCCTTCATCCGGACCACCTGGCAGCCAGTGCCTGGAGCTGGAAGGTAAAGGGGGTGATGCCAGCTGTATCCCACAGTGGGTGGCTCATCTGAAAAGCATCTTGGAAGGAGTTTCAGTCTGACAAACCGATTCTTGCCGTTGGGGAGGGCTGAGTGTATATTTATCTCTCTGTCTTTCCACAGCCCTCTCAAATAATACCCCACATCTTACAGCCACCCCAGCTGCTTTCTTTCTCTCTCTTTTTTTGTCTGAGAATGTGTTGTCGTCCTGTTTTTCTACTTAACCCAGTCTTTTATCATAACTGGAATCTATATTATGCTTCATTCCAGACCATTAACTCCATCTCCTGTGCCAGTCCCAAAAGGGTTTCGCAGCTCTCTGTTTTGCTTCGCTCATCCCTGCCTGTGCTGCAGACTTGCTGAGAGGTGAGGATGGTTCTTAATCTTTGGGCAGAGAAGAAAGGCATGGATGCCTAGAGGGATGTGGGAGGGGGAGCTTGGATTTTTATGGATGAGAAACCCAAAACCCCAGTCCATCCTACATGGACCAGGGCTGTACAGGCTTGGCAGAACAAGGAGTCTGCTTGACAAGGACAGATGAGGGGTGCTACAGGCTTACTTAACTATAGCCTGAATTTTCTGCTACACCTAAAAGCAAGGCTCCTTCTGAGGCAATGCAGGGTCTGTTAGTCAAGAATGGTGCATGACTTGTGCATGAACATGTATAGTTCTGTGGTATAGCAAAGACTTGCTTTCCAGAACCTGATAAACTTCGCTTTCTCCTTGGATTTTTTTTGCTGTCTGAAGAAAGCCTACCTCCTAAGTTGTGTGCTAGCTGTGTACCACTAACTCTTGCTGGCAGCTGGAGGGCTGCCTTACTCAGCTAACACCAAGTTATCTCACCCCTAGGACTTAGGAAAAAGAAAAAAAAAAAGCAGCTCTCTAAAACGCAAGCAATGCTTAACAACTCTCTACCTGAGTCAGCAAGCAGCCTGAAACAATACATGCACAGTGATGCACTCACATGCATTTCCAGAAGGCATTACTTCTGCAAACAGCCTGTGTGCCTTGCACTGTGAATGGTTTCACTGCTGAGCAAAGTACCCAAGGCAGGAAAACTATGAGGCACCGAGAGAAAAGTGCAGTCTCTGGAGTAGAAGAAATATGAATTTCTAAGCCTGCAGGAGTGACTCCGGCTTTAAGCCTTTCTCTGGGACTGAGAAGACATCCTCTGACATGAGACCTTCTTAATATGCATTGCTAAACTATGTTGGGGTGGGGGTCTTCTCTCTTCCCCAGTCTCACCCATACAGATGAAGCCCTCTTTGCTGCTTCTGTGCCACCTCTGTCTGTTCAGCTTCTCGCTGGCATCTGACTCTGCACAAGGTAAGAAGAGATTCTCTTCTCCCATGGCAGTAGGACTAACAGGGAAGGGTGTCAGTTAGGGGAATGTATGTGTGGCATGGTACAGTATGTATGCTTGCATTGTAATATATGAGCAGAGGAGGTGTGATAAAAGTCTCCTGCAAGTGCATCAGGCTCCAAGGACACAGAGGAGGCAGAGATGTGAGTGGCTCTGCTTTTTTAATTTGGTTATCCAATTATCTAGTAAAGGAATCCATCTTTATTTTGGGAGGAGTTAGGATTGTCTATGATGGCTGTTTATGCCAAAAGGCATTGCTGATTCATCCATGTTGCTGTCCGTCTCTTCTCCGCTGGCAGATACCTCCAATCTAACTTGTTGGTATGACTCACGGGCAACATTATTTTGCACTTGGAACCCAGGCAGGGACCTCGCAGAAGCACCATGCCATCTGGAGATTTTATCAAAGTTAGCTTTGTGCGACAGGTACGTGACTGGAAAGGCTGAGCAAAGTTAATGCTTTGAATGACAATTGTCCTGGAAAGTCTCCTTAATATAAATCTAGGCCCCCCCTCCCCAGACCAGGTGTTGTGGATTCACAGGGATGAGGGGCTTTGCCTTTGAAGTTTCAATCTCTCTAATCCTATGCTGATCGAGATGCCAGGCTCTGCACAGTGTTCATCTTATGAAGCTACTCAGATGTCCATCACAGCCCATATTCCACCTTCATTGCTCTGTCCATGCTTCATTTTCCAGAGAGTTCTATCCCCTGGGCTGAAGGACATTTGCAACCTAAAAGAAAGATAAACAGAGAAAAAAGTGGGGTGGGGAGAGGGAAGGTATAAAGTAATGCAGGAATTATTTGCAAGGATTGGCCGGACAAAGCATGAATGTTGTACTTTCAGTGACAAATGTTCTTCGCCTTATTATAGTCTTCCCTGGCCTTTTTACCTCTTCCAGCTCATGATACCTTCCTGTGACATACATTGCCCATCACAGGGATAGGCATGTGGTCAGTACTGCAATAAGGGTTGACCGGATCTCTGTGATCTCCAAAAATAACATTTTCAGTCACGAGAGGAACCAGTCTGCTGTAGAACTTCCCTGGGTGCCCATAGAAAGAAGAGGCCCGGTGTGGTTTGGCAGTAAATAGGTCTCTCCAGGCTTCTAATAGTAGCATCTTCTAATAGATACGCTCTAGGGCTGGTTCATAGAATTATGCCAAAACATTGCTATTGCTCCACAGGATTGAATTGAAAGGGTTGGATCTGGAATGGGGGCTGAGCTAGGAACTGTGCCAGGTTGACCAGGACTCTAAGACACCCCAGATGTGTGCACAGTCTATTTTGCTTCCTCTGCAGCAAACCACTCACTGAGAGGACCAGCTGGTCTTTTGCCCTTCAAAGCTCTTTGACTTGCTACCCTAAGGGGCTGGGTTACAGCTGACTCTTCAAGGAAAGTTATAGGCAAAGCTCTCCTCCTCCCACCATTGGCAAATGCCAATTTGGTCTGATCTAACAGCTGGAGCAGCCAGCTCTGCCTGATACTTCCTCTTCTGCAACTCCCCTGCTGCTCTCCCAC